AATGTGTAAATGTGTCATCCATTGATTGATAGATTTATAAAAATATATTTTTGTTTATAATATATTCTGAGTCGTCATCACAGAATATTATGTCATTATTGTCATTCGACAATCAGTGTCAGTCAGTGGTGTACTGGTGACAGTCGACCATATAACGTCAAAGATTTTGTTGAAATAAATAATAACTAAGTTGTAAATAATTTTATGACATATTTGATCACCAATGTACTCTTTTCTTGTCCTGTCGAAAATGTCCTTATCTAGATGTCTTATTATTATTGTTTATATATTATACAATATTACAAAAATGTTCTATACACAAACCATTTAAATTGTTAACCCATTTTTCTTTTCTTTTTTTTTATGGTAAAGGCTTCGACAACTGAGGTCATAAGCCTGGGGAACTGTAGGAGAAAGAACTGTAAGGTTTTAACTCGTGGGTTTTTGGCAGAATTTTGAATGGGCACCCGTGGGTTTCTGTCATGCCCGGTTGGGGGCCGGCGGCCTCTCTCTCTAGGCATCGCGAAATGCCCAAAGAGTGATGCCGCCCGTGACCGAGATTCGAACCGGCGACTGYGTGCGCCTTAGTCCGCTCGGCCACTCCACCCCCGACCCATATTTAGTTATATATATATAATACATTTTAAACTCATTTTGTCAATGTTATGTTACAAATAAACCTAATCACTGACAAATACTTCAGTTTCTCCAATTCCATACTACTCCATACRTTATCGAGTTGGGTTTTTATTCATAACAATATTCATCTTTTATTTTCAGATAGAATTTAATGTGTTAATATGTTATGGAAAACATTTTTTTCCATTTTCATAACTATTATTTGGCAAAATATAATATAATAACATTAATACCACCAAAAYAATTTTACATACATAATATTTGAAATGTTTAAATTAATAAATACTTAAATGTATTATTTATTATTTTTTACTTTATTCTATATAATATAGAGTATACAGTAAATGAATAAATTTTTTTAAATATATAAATATAATATTTATAATAAACATTATAAATAATGTATGTGATATAATTTGACAGTTGACAAACGTTWAAAAAAAAACTACCGCCTAGTCAATGGTGATAGATACTCAATAACTTGCTTAGCCTATATTATCATTTCTCAACCTGGGCCTTGCTTAGAAACAATTAAAAATGAAAGTAACAACTAACAGGTGATACTTTATACAATAATGTTTTAAATTAAAAGCCAGATGAGATTTTTTATGGTTTATTCTAATTTTTCAATTGTTGCACTAGTAAAGATGACGAGGTCTAAACTCTAAATGCTATGTGTAGTTGACAAGCTACTTCAGCTGGTTTAATTTAAATCTGGGTAACATTTTGAAAAAAAATTATATTAAATATTATTCTTACCATACATAATATAWAATTTTTTTTTAACCTACTGCAACATAAGCCATTGGGTKTGRGGAGGGTACTGTAGGGTTTTTAGGTTGGATAGGTTATTGGAACACGTGTGTGTAGTTTTGGCAGAATTTCTAATGGACACCTGTAAATGTCTGCCATGCCCGGCTGGGGAGCAGGAGCCTCTCTCTCAAGACAGTGTGAGCTTCCCAGAAAGCAATGCCGCCCATGATCAGGATTCAAACCAGCGATGGTGCGCGTCRCAACCGACGCCTAAATCCACCCAGCCACTGCACGCACCGTAAAATATATTATTTCATAAATAAAACATTTTGAAATTATAAAATTGTTTGATACTTAAGAAATAAATTATATATTTTGTTATATATTATTTGTAAACCTTCTATAATCTAACGAAAGGAAAAAATAATGGTTTTAAAATTATAACTTCAATCATTTATAAAATATAGATCATGATTTATGTTTATACTTTTAGCAATTTAAATTTAAAAAAACATAATTTTGAAAATAAATACAGATAAAAATATAATAACTAGAATAAATAAGTACTTAATATTCATGTGTTTGATAAAGGATGTCAATTATCACTATGGTTCTAGGTATTTATTTATATTTATCGCAATGTAGATGAACTGCATTGTGATTGCAATGCACAAATTTCATCTTTAAATTTGTTTATAGTTTCTCTTAATTTTTTTAGGCGTTCTTTATACATAACCGTGTGATCTTGTACTCTTTTTCTAGATTTTATCATTTTTTCAACTGTGGTCTTTTTGATTTTTTCATCTAAAAACAAAATGTTTTAAATAAAAAATTAAGTTACAGATGATAACAAAAGTAGGTACATACAATGTAGATTTTTTTCATCAATTGGAGGATTTTTACTCATTGTGTCATTTAGTACGAATTTCATGTAAGTTGAAKGATCTTGAAAAATTATTTCCTCATAAAATTCTGACAAAACTGGTTTTTCACTTAGTTCAGAGTCTGGTCCATTGCTATATAACTTAAGTACATGATAAAGTGTAACCTATAAAATATAATAATTAATAAATATAGTTTTTAAATAATAGATTTCAATAAATAAGAATAATCATTTTGTAAATAATATATCATTATAAAATATAAGTAAAAGGCAAATATTTCAATAAAAAAAGTTTTGAAATTTATTAAGTTTTTTGAAAATTTATTCTTACAAATAAGTTTTATACTTGGTTTTCAATATAGCTTTTATTTAATTACCTTAATGTTTACTAGAATACGACTATCATTCTTTTAATTTCTAAAAGCAAAATAATAAACAAAACTTATTTTTTGGTTATAATTTAACACRATAACTGCCATACAACTGCCGGCGGCCACAAGAATATTTATCATGGGTACACCAATGATATTTTTCAGGGTCATTGTAAATTTATATTTGTATGTATATTGTTGAATTAAAAAAAAAAAATGATAAAATTATGTTTATTTCATCAAAAGAATTGCAATTTTTTCCCACTACGTCCCAGCGTATTTTCAAGATCATTATTGTAGCGCCACGGAAAAGTTAATACAGTAAAACCTCGATAAGGCGGAATCGTACGGGGCCATGACATTTTTCCGTATTAACGAGGTTTCCGTCTTGATTTAAAAAAAATTGAATTGAATTAAATTAAAGATTACAAACGACACAAATGTAAYAATATACAATTTGATACTGAACCAAGCAACTCAGATAATAATTTTGTATAGTGTATACTGTATACATATCGATTTTATTAGTTTTTAATATCATCATACGCGCTTGTATATCGATTAACTATGGGTATCAACAATACAAAAATTAATTTATTACTTGAAAATCATGTTATATTTCCGTCTTAGTGAGGGTTTTTATCAACTTTCATTAAAAAAGTGTCTGTTTCCGTCTTAGCAGGATAAAATTATATTATATAATTTGAAAGGGGACAAAAAAAATTTCCATAATACCGGGGTTTTCCGTTTTAGCGAAGTTTTACTGTAATATAAATCCAAATTAATTTACGGCAGCCGGCAGTCAAYGTGCTAATTGTTGTCTAACTGTTTAAATACTAGTTCCTGAAAATTAGAATATTTTCAAAAATAATAATAATATAATTCTCAWTGCATAAAGCAAGAATCAAAGTTTTCACAATATRTTATTAAATGACACACCCCAAAAATCATCAYAACTAAAATGAAAAAGCATAAATTATTAAATACCAAACAGTTATGTTTAAATTATTATTTAAGTTATTGTTAGTATAAGAACTGTGTATAATATGATTTTCTCCATAAACTTAACTACATACTATTATAATACTAGAAATATTTAAATAGAAACAAAATATTTGACTAAATAAACAATCATTTTAAGATGTTAATGAGTTTTGATATCATTTAACTCTTAGTATATAAGTAATATAGTTAAGTCATGGTGAGATAATATTAAATATAATTTTTTATATCATAATTTGTATTACTGGTCTTTCACTTGTATCTTGAAAAAATATCTTGATTACTAATTCAAATTCGCCCCAGCCTGTTTCAGAGACCTCAAATGGAGGTTTCTGCACCACTCGAGTTGGACTTTCATAGCTGTCATGCAATTTAAAATGAACTTTTTTAACCCAGGTGCCAATGTCTTCATTTACATAAGGCCTTACATATACACACCATTTGTGAGTATGACCATCTTCATGTCGTTTTTGGCCAAAATATTGAGCAGTGTTTCCATATACAATCGGTTTAACAATAGAAGTTCCCTAAAAATAAAAATAAATTAACTATACATTTAACACAAAAACCAATAGTAATCTTACCTTAACTCTAGTCAAATCATTATTCGCCATTTCTAAAGCTTAAGTGCATATAAATTATTTACAATATTGAATAAATAATCATTTTTTTTTTTTATATTAACATGGGTATAAGACACTTAATTGTATAACTAATATTTATTATAGTAAATAATAAATATATCCAGTAAAAAAAAAAAAATAAAATTATTATTTGAATACAATTAGTTCTTATCAAAACACAGTATATAAGCAATGATCTGTGAAGACCGCGGTAGTGGTTAAAAAATAATATGATAACCTTTTTTAAATTTTTTGGAGTTTTTGGAGAATAAGTTAGAAGTTAGTAACAAYTTTTGATAGTTCTGTGCTGCAACCACGACCGACTACAACAACTACAACTGATTACTGAATAGTGATTAGTGAATATTATTACCAATTTACCATAAAGGCGGTACTTTTCCAAGGCGTGTGCCGTGTACACGTAAAATGTTCAGCTGTGTCCAACMWCACGGTAACGTAGTTCATCATGTGGTAACCTAACCCAACCAACCAATCACATCAAAGGATTTGCGTGAACATGACGTGTAGTGGATTGTAATTTTTTTATATTAACGATTATTATTTGTAATAGTTGATAAACCAAGGAGGCACMGTCCAGTTATGCTCTATAGACCTTGTTTCGGTTTTTTTAATAATAGTAACAATCAAGATTTTCAAGATGAAGAATTTGATATAGAGCTCGCGATTTTGACCGAATATTAACCAACGTAACTTAAATGTATTAATACCCGTGTAATTAAAATCCGGGTACACAATACACATGTAAATATGTAATTACTAGAGAGTCCGTGTATTTAAGTTGTATTAAATAATAATTCCTTAATTTGGKTTTCTTMTTCATTGTTAAACATATTATTAAATATATTTATTAGTTTATTTAAAATACTATAATAATTAATATTATTTTTATTTTTATACTATGTGCAATCATCGAGCATATTGTCATATTTAATTACTTCCTTAACTTTTTTATTAATTATTTGTGTAAACTGTATTATTATTTATTACTTAAAAAAACTTTATGTATTATTAAAATCAGATTAAAAAATGTACAAAACAATCATATAGACTGGTAATGCAATTTTTTTCGAAATTTTGCATAGGTAGTAAATTATTTCTGCATTCCACTATTTGGAAGTACTTATTTATATTGAAAAGTAATGAAAATATTACAAGATATTGTCCACTATTAGGACTTAGGAGGTATCCGTTATGGGGGGTTTTACTATAATTATATTATCTACAAATGTTAACATGAACACTCAGATACACGGACTGAAGTAAAAACACGGGTACACGGATTTCATTATTCGTTTGCCCGTGTATTTTATTTACACGAACTTTAACACCGTTTTTAAATACACGTGAAATGGTGAAATAGGAATGATACTGTATCGACTGAGAATAGTTACGTATACCGACTCGTATCGAAGTCTAAGCTTGTACGTAAGCTACGTATCGCTTGTATATTGAACGTGTAACTTTTAGAACATTCAAAATTGTATATAGATACACCCCAATTTCTTMCTTGAAAATCCTTAATATTAAAATATGTATTATATTTGAATTACTAATATAATTTTTAATTTTTCAGAAAACTTTTATAATATCCGTAAAAATATTGGCGCCTCTTAACATATTCCAGAGGGGACTATTGCCCCTCCAAACCACCCCTTAAATACGGCCCTGTATATGTGAGATGTGACAGACCTCCTCTGCAAAATCGTTTTKCATATAGATATAATGATTTTATATCATTGAATTCAAATTGAACACATCCATTACCGTGGTCCGTGATTTCTCTAGACACCTTATATAAATTAGAAAATTACCTATTCGCCTACTTTTTTGAAACGTGTTTATCTGTATTTTTCGATTTTGCAATTCAATTCACTATGAGGTATGTACCTTCATTTTTTGTTAAAGTAACCTGTAAATTGAATCGTCGTGTTTGATGCCTTGATGGTAATTTTAAATAAATTATCGAATCCTTATAATCAACCATTATACTGATGACTTATTTAATAAGCCTTATTGGCATTTACTTTGTGAATTCTTACAACATATTTTTAGTCGTTGAGAAAAGATTATAAAATATAGGTATTAGGTAGATGTAAATACACTTCAATAATTATAACACAATATATTAATATACAACCATATACATT